CCCCAAAACCCCAAAACCCCAAAACCCCAAAACCCCAAATCAATATTTTGGGGTTGAAATTTCTAGATATTATGGCTGAACACAGATTTTTGGAGAATAAAGTTTTGATTTCGCATAAGACAAATACAACTTTGAGACCTTTGGGAGTGCTATATAAGACTTCAGATATATGAAGATGTCTCTGTAGCAAAAATCTTGAGCGGTTGGAAATTTTATTAAGCAAACTATCACTATGAGACTATTGCTTAAACATATTTAATAAGCTGGAGGCATGAAATAGCGCCCAAGGCTTCCTAACCTCATTATTAGTTTATGTATGGCTTCAGTCATATTCAGACAAGTATTTTCCAATTTATTGGCTCGTTTGAACTATTTTGGAAAGCCAGTTTAACCAAATCTTTCAAAAAGAATATTCTTGGCAGAAGCCCAAGTTGTCGCTGGGGTGGCTAAGAGCTTTACTTATAGACTATTTATTAGCAAAATCTCTAGCTGTCTTGATACCTTACAGCTTCATTTTTAGTGACAAAAAGTCAGGGTAATTCTTAAAAACCTCGGGAATCCTAGTCTAAGCCCAGCTTACTAAACATTAGGGAGGCATCTCTCACCTTAATTAAAATTCTCCTCGTCTCTATAACAGTTTGTATCGGCAATTAGTACTGTTTTTACTGAAAATGGCAGGTTAGTCACCACTTTTTTAATTCAGTTCAAAAGTCTACTATTCCCTATAATTATGACAATTATTGGATCATGAATCAAAGATTTATTAATCATGGTCTGACGACTCTGGGATGAGTCTTCCCTGTTCGTCTTAATCCTTTTGAGGGCTTATCTGCAGTAAAAATCTAACAGTAAATTCTTTGGACCTAAATATTATTATTTTTATTAGTTATCAAACTTGCGTTGGTACTATTGGAAGGCGAAACAAAAATTAAAAGATGGCTTGAAAGCTGAAGGGGAAAAATACTAATTATTTCTTTATTTTTGATATATTTTTAAGCCCTTCGTCCCTCTTGTTAGACCCTCTTGTAAAACAAGTTTAAGGTCGGGTGCCTTATACATAAGGACAAGGAAATAAAAATTTCATAATATTTAATAAAAATGAACTTTTGCAAACATTGATCTAGCATACCAAAGGATTCTCTCTTGGATCGAAATTCTTGAATTGCACTCAAGAAACTATGCAAAACTTCTTGAGTTTGTTCAGTAGTAAGCAGCTCCTGTTCCAAGACCAAGAGAGGTTGATCAGACGAAGATCAATGTTCTCCTCCCTGTTCAAACAGCTCGAAGAAGTTTTACAACCTAGGGTAAGAGTCTATCTCAAAAGGAAAGAAGCAACTAAATAGAGCAATAATCTTTCATTCACTTGTTTCATTTCATGTTTAACATAATTATAGATGAGTAAATCAGGAAGAAGGAGACTCCTCGGTTTCTCATGAATTGAATAAAATGCTACCTAAAATAGAACCTCGGATGACCGAAAACTCCTCTGAAGAAAACGAGTTATTTGTGAGAGTGCATAAAGATGTTTCAACAGCAAACAAAGTAGTCAAACCAAGGAGAAGACGGTCTTGGAAGCTTGATATAACCGACAGGCTACCTATAATTAAGAAAATTATTCTCAGTAAGCCTGTTGGCCCTTTCTTACGTTCAACCAAAAAGACAAGGTACACGACAGACAAATATCTTGGAAGGAGGTCCAAGTACATTGGGGTTACTAAAAACAACGTTAACTGGCAGGCATTGATCAACGTCAACCATGAGAAGAAATACATCGGTACTTTCTCTAATGAAATCGAAGCTGCCAAGACATACGACTTATATGCAGTAGCAATGCAGGGCAAAAGAGCCCGCCTCAATTTCAGCTACACAAACCAGGAAATGGTGAACATGATAGACCACTATCTCGCTCACAAAAGCATCAAAATTAATGAAGATCTACAATAACTTGCATTCTCCATCTATAAACCCACTCTTCATCAACTTTCTTCTTTAAAAATCCACTCCAAACATATAAAAACTCCATATTTTTTCCTGTGACCTGATATTAAGCTTCAACATCCTCACTCTAAGTCGGGGTTTTGGGGTTTTGGGGTTTTGGGG